TTTAAAGCTGCTTGCTAATATTACTATTTCTTATAAATGTTAGAATGAATAAATGTAAAAAAGAAAGGAAATAACTTTCCCCATTAAATAGTAGAAATTAGTGTGCTCTCCACATGGTTTGAGCTATTTAAAGGAAGTTGGCAGGTGGTGTTCTGAGGAAGAAGGAAGTTAAAGCAAATCAGACAGGAAGTGATCTGAATCATCCATCTTTCATTAAAAATTTTAAATATGTGCTAAAACTGTTTCTCTCTTCCATATAGAGTAGATAATAACACATGTAAAACATCTCTATTGAAAATAAATATAGGGAAAAGTAAAGAACAGGAAGAAATGAGCTTACTGTTAATAATCTAATATTTTAAGGAAAGTTTTAGAATTTTATTTAATTTAAAATAAAACATGTTACATGACAATAATTATTAAGAAGAGTTTTAACATATAAAAGGAAAAAAAGAAAATAAATTCCTAGCTCACTTTATGATTAAAGATGACAAAATAAAATCTTTAAAAATTTTTGTTCTTTGTATTATAAAAATAAACATTTACATAAATTTTTAAAGCCTGAGCTGAAAATTCAAATATATAAACATATTATGTATGATAAAAATCTTTAAAATTATTTTATCCCAAAATGAATGATTCTATTATCCATTTCAAGAATTAGATTAATCCCCTTACATAGCTGAAGAATGTGCTAAGTTTACAAATGTTATAGATGTTTAGTTGCTCCAATAACAAAAACTAAGGGGATATTTGGCATTCTAGTACCCACTACAGTTTTCCATCAGCTATATGCGATAATTAATTCTAAACACTTTGTAAGCTGTAAAATAAAACTTTAAGCATCACTAATGAGTAAGTAAGGCCTTCTGACATCTTTCACCTAAGACACAAAAGGGCTGTCTTACTAGTTTGAATACTAGTGCATACTGAATCATTTCTTTAGTTCTGTTTGCTGTTGTTTTAATTTGGAAAAAGGAGATATGGTGTAGGGGGAATTTTCACTACTTGTAATATTTGTTCTTACTTTTTAAGAACCTCAAAATAATTTTCACAGGGTTGACTAGTTTTTGATGTTCAGATACAACATATGTAACTGGTAAAATTGGGGAGGGCGAATAACTACTCAAATTACAATCAAATCCCAACGACATTCTATGAGTTATCTTTATCAAAAATTTCTCCTGGCTATCCAATAATACAGTTTTTTAAAATTTCTTTTTTATAAAATGGTTGGTAGTTTTCAAACTAATTACAAAATAATTTTAGTAGTTGCAATATATTGTTAAGTACACAGAATTAAGGTTAGTTTCTGTACATTCTTCAAAATGTTACAGGAGATAGACAATTTTCTTAAATTATGAAACCCCGTCCTTGCTAATCAAAGGTAATGCTACTGAAAGTGACTGCTGTCTTTCCGGGTAGATAGGGCTGCAGAGTTTTACTTCCTGTAGCCAAGTAGGGTAATCTCTTTGACACTGCACACATATTTTTGTAAGGCATGTGGTAATTATAGTAGAAACTGCTAGGGATTGTCTTCTTTTGGTAAATGTTTATAAAGTTCTGAGAGTTATTGTGTTAACTAACCCAGCTGATTTTAAAACCACAAACTGAATATAGATGAAAGTCTATTTTTCTTTTCCTAAGTATACAAAACCCTAAGGTCACCTTGAATCACATGACAATGGATACAATTTCTGAATACCGAAACGAAAAAAAGAATTGCTAATAAAAGTTTGTAATCAAATGGTGCTATGTTTTAATCAACTCACAGGATTCAGAGAAACCCAAGAGCCCATCATTTAGCTCTGTGCTATGCATTAAGTTGGGCAGAAACCTGATGTCAGTCCACAAAGGCCTTGAAGTCTGGTTAGAACGGGGTTTCTTAACCTGGGTCCATAGACTGTTGGAGTTCCATGGATATTCCATGAATTTGGATGGGGAATAAAAATCTTTATTCTCACTAACATCTGGTTTCCTTTGCAATCCTAGGTATTTTATTTTATGCATTTTTATGCATTTATGCATTTGAGAAAGGGTTCATAGGTTTCACCAGACTGCAAAAGGGGTCCAACATACAAAAAGGCTAAGAATTCCAGGTTGGAGTGATGAGCCCCTTATGATAAACAATGAAAGACCAAGACAGTGTTGTACTGAGAAGAAAAGACCCTTGGCCTTGAATACAAGAGACTTAAGTTTGAATACCAACTCTACTATTTTATACTTGAAAACTTTTGTCATGTCACTTAATTTTCTTGATCTATAAAATGGAGATGATAATACCACCTGTAATACCTACCTCACAGGGTTAACTGAAAGGAAAATGTTACAAACCTCAAAGTGATAGATAAAAATGTGATCCACTATGATTAATAAGTTATAAACTTGCACATAGCATGAGAAGGAAACAAGTAGGCTTTCATAAATTATATTCTATAGCAGACCACATTTATATTCCTAAAATTGACTGAAAGTTCCCACTGTATCTATCACATTGCCCTAAATGGACAGTAAATATTTGTTGAATTTCCTTTTCTTCTTTAGATCAAATAATAACTGTTCCTTTATTGTTTTCTCTCTTTGATTATTTTTATCATTTTCTGAAATCTATCCAAGTTTCTCAACATCCTGGACATCATAATCTAGTAATTATCTAATTTGGTACATATTAAAAGGATTATTTAATAGTCTTTTCATACGATATTCCTTTTCCTTCTTATGCTGATGAGAGCTAAATCTGTCTCCAAAATCTAATCCCACATATCCACCTGCCTGCTTGGCATTTCTGCTGTATTACATCAAAATCAGTTCGTCTAAAAAATCCACTTATTTTCTCCTCCAAACTGATTTTCCCATTGAATTGATCCATCTGGGTTACTGATCCCAGCAGTGTCCCAGTCAGACTTACTCAAAACCTCAGAGTATTATTTAACAACTCCTCTTCCCCTTAATCACTTATATCCAACAAGTCAGGTAAATCCTATTGGTTCATTTTTCAAAATGTCTCTTCTATCTATCCCTTACTATTTTATATTTCCTACAACCACTCTAGACCAAGTCCCTAATACCTCATGCCTAGATTATTACATGACTGTCTGCTTCTATGTATGCTAATCCGCCCTGAACACTGCCATCCATCACTTTAACACATCTACAAGCCTCCTTTCATTACATCCCTCCTCTGTTTTAAAACCACCAGTGGTTCCCCATTACCTAAAGATAGATGAATAAAGATGGCTAAGTGAATAAATACGGCTAAGTGAAATAAGATCATACAGATTATAAAGAGCCCTAAATGCTAACTAGGAAAGGGAGTTATGATTTTATCTCCTACTTTTCTTCGTCATTTTATCTAATTAAATGGATGTAATAGCCATAAAAATATTATGCACATTTCTGCTTCTGTACCTTTGCTCACAATTCTTCCCTTTTCTAAATCTCATCCTTTAAGACTCACTGATTCTATAAAGACTCCTGTCACTCCAATACATACTAGAATCCATGCACATAGTATTAATTCCATAGAGTTATTTAGTTTAATTTCAACAAAAATTTCACATTTTTCTAATGTTAATATATCCCAGACATAATTTTTAAATAGACTTCAAAAACTTTTAGACCTAAAAAAAGCAATGTTTTGTTTTGGGAGAAAAAAATCCCATGCAATCTTCCTTCTTTTACTTGTACGTTATTTATTTTATTTGGAGTAAAAGTTAACCTTGTATTTAAGACCTACTTCTTACCACTAAGGGTACAGTTATAATGAACTCCCCCCCCCAATCCCTAACGTTCTTATGAAAGCACAATTATAGTGGAACATTCATTGTCATATTTTCAGTTTTATTCTACATGAAATTGAAGACATTAACAAAGCAAAAACTGGCTAAAAGGCTTGTTTCAAAAAACATGATTAACATTCTATTAGCATAGTTTCTGAGCTTGCCTCCCTTTGGCCAAGTAATATAAGTATGGGTTTTGACCCAATTGTGAGGATACAGACTCACACCAGAATCAATGTACTACATTTCTATATCAGATCAAAAGATTTAGAGCCAAAAACTACCAAAGAAACTACCTGGTACAATTCCTTCATTGACCCCGGAAGGGGTTAAAGTGGCTTGCCCAACATGACACAGACAGTAAGTATGTCGTAGCATGAGGATCTAAACTCGCTTCGCCTAATTCCAAATACAGTGCTCTTTCCACTAGATTATGCTGTGGCACGTTTGCTGTTGCTTGCAGATACTTCCCAGGATCATCACCACCAAAAAAAAGAGGGCCCACCTCTGCTAGGCAACATTACAGCTAGACATTACAGCTCTGTGTGGATTCCTTATGGCTGGCCGCTGTTCCTATAAGAGACTGGAATGTGGCCCTCATTCATTCGCAAGCTTCACTCTCACCTGAAACCTGACAGTAGGAATCAGACTACCAAGTGAGTTAAGCTATCCTTTGAACGCCTGGATCCCACTTTGCTTCCCTCTCAGAAGCCTGTGGCTGGTATCTACCAGATTATCTGATCAGTGATTCAAGGTTATGGGTGTTATTGAACACCATCTCATCCCCTTCTACATGCCTGCTTGCCTCAAAAATGCTAAGGATTAGCATAATGTCTCCAATTTAGTAAAAGTTCTGGCAGGAGAAGACAACTCTAATACGTGCAAGGCAGCTCAAAAGAATAACAAGAGGGAATATCTACCATGCAGAGATATCATAAAGAAAAACTCAAAAAGGCAGCTCCCTTCAACTCTGAAATGGCACTCACAACAGGATCTATTCACTGCTCAGTACTTAAGAGTCAATTTTTTTTTCATAGAGTTAAGCTCTAGTTACTTGCAAATTCATAATGAAATGATCTCTTATTTATCTATGTCATGGGGGGTTCTATTGAATTGGCCCTATTTGGAGGCAAAATAAACATTTTCTAGAAAGCATCAGGAACATAAAAAAATCTCAACAAAGTCTTACAAAACTGTAAGGTAACAAAATTCAATCATTACCTATCTCCTTTTGGTTTTCTCTTTTGCAGTGTCTTCCCTTTGGGTCGTCTCTCACTTCCTAAACAGGGGCTCCCTCCAGGGCCTGTTACCCGTATTGATTCAAGGCCTTTGGAAGATTTTTTAAATGTGAATTCCACTGGTTCTCCTTCTTTTAGGCTTCTAAATCCTTCCATATATAGCTTGCTCTGCAAACAGGAAACAAAAAATGTCTCAGTTACTACTACTTTATAAATAATCTTTTAATTTAAAGGATCACATAACAAAATAATAATATTCTTTCTTGTGAACTTAATCAAATATGAACATTTCAATATTCAAAGACTGGATATGAAACTATGAAATTCTGTTATGTTCAATTTGTTTTAAATAAAGAGTTTATAACTTTCATATGATAATAACAAAATTATCCTATTTGTGACTACTTCTAAGACTTTTGTTTTCTACTATGTATTTTAACATTCTAATTTTGCTCCTTTATCTTTTTTTATCTCTATCCCTACTCACTTACTTGCCTTCCCTTGTAACAAGTATACTCAAGAAAACTACACCAGCATCAGAAAAATGTACCTTTCATTCTGCACCTCTACCCAAACACCTCACTACCAAGAGGTGGGAAACATGCTTCATCATCATATTCTTCCTCATAACGTTAATAGGGTCAATGTGATCTATATAATTTATATCATCTTAAATGGATTTCTGTTCACAAAACTATGTAGTCATAAAATTATAATTATAACATGCTATTGTGATATATATCACATACATATACCATATGTACACATGACATATGATTTCAGTTTAAATATGAATCCATTTTTCTTTTTTCCCACCCAAATATAGAAAAAAGCAAATAATTTTATTTCATAAATTCCACTGTAGAAGTTTTAGAACATAAGGGTTCTAATTTCAGACACTATAGTCTTTTTAAAAAACATTTTTTTAAATGTTCATTTTTTAAAAATTTTGAGTTTCAAATTCTCTCCTGCCCTTCAGCCCCCCCTCCACCCACTGCAATGGCAAGTAATATATCAATTGTAAGTGTGGAATCAAGCAATACATATTTCCACATTAGCCATGCTGCCAAAAAATAGGAAGAAAAATAAAGGTGAAAAAAAATTATACTTCAATCTGCACTCAGAGTTCATCAGTTCTTTCCCTCTGGAGGTAGACAGCATTGCTCACTGTGAGTCCTTTAGAATGACACCATAGTTTTAAATATTTTCTTAAATGTCTTTGGTATAAGAATAAAAAAAGGAATCTACATAAGTAGGAAGAATGTGTTAAGTGATAATTTCCAGTCAATAAGAAACTTTTCAAAGCAGTTTGATAACAAGAAAAAAAATCACCATCAAATCAGTATGAAAAAAATAGAAATTCATCTAAAGCAATACTGTCTCACTTTTTTTTCCAAGTAAATAACATCCATCTTTCAAAAGTAAAGAAAAGGGCTACAACTCAGAACCACACTCCTCACCTTTTCATATGCATAGTTCGGTGCACATATCAAAAAAATTTGATCCTATCTGCAAATAAATTATAAACAAATTTTATAGTTATTTCTTAGATTTTCAGGTATCTTACAAAATATTTTTCTATCCCTTATGCCTTGAATCAGAGATAAAGAACCTTCATCTTTCACTAGGAGGCCAAAAGTTGCTCCCAAGAGGCTCTATAATGCTGATAAATATTGTGCCCAGTGTCCAATGTAAAATGATGATTGAATTTTTGGCAAATTTACGTTACCAAACAATCAAAAGAGTTCCTTTCTTTCACACTGAAAAACAAAATTTAATGATTTTGGGGGTGCTTGCTTATTAAGAACTCAGAACTTGGTTGGTTCCAGAACTACTGTTTTCAGATTGATTTGGTCTTCCTACTAACGGTTCGTCATCTGTGATCAAAAGCATGTTTTGTTTCTAGTCATGTGTGAAAATGTTGATTCACAACAGGGCTTTTACACTACATGAGACATTTTAAACAGCAGAGTAGTTTTGCTGAGTTTTGTGAAACTGCATTACAACCAGTGCTGTGGTGGTAAAAGAAAAGGTTTTTTTTGGCAAAAAATTCCTGGATAATCAGAACTTTTTTATTAAATTTAAAGATTATATTCTGTCAGAAAAATCTCATCCATGTTTGCATATAGTCCTAAACAAAGCCAAAATGGGCACACTAATTTCCTAATTTTATCCCAATGCTTAAAGGGTCTGTAAAAAAAAGTGTCGGGGGGGAGCATGATTCAGAAGGCAAAAGAATATAAGATGGCAAGAAAATTTTATAATTAAGTATGTTTCATGGAGTGTTTCTAGGAACAAGGTGAATCCACAGGGCAAACAGAAAATAAAGAGATGCAAAGAAAGATGTGAGTGAAGAGACACTGTCCTCAATTTAAGCAGGTGGAACACAAGGAAAACTTGCAAATATGGCTCCATATCAGCCTGGTTTCCTATGCCACTTTTTGTCTCTGTATTCATCAACCTCGAAAACTCCCATAAAAATATGAGATTTCAGTGCCCATTTCAATGACAATTTTCAAATTTAGTCTTTGTTTAAATCCAGCTGCTCTCCATAGTTCCCAAGCATCCTTCATTCCTGTTTCCATTGTTTCATGTAGTCATAGAACTTAAGAGTTGAAAGAGACTTTAAAACTCTTCCAGTCCAACTCATTTTTTCTGTTTTTGGAGAAGAGGAAGCTGAGACCCAGAAAAGTGAAGTAACTTGACCAAGATCTCATAGCTAATTTGCTATTACAACCTAGATAAAAGAAATGACATTGAGCTATCTATGAAACTCATAAAGAGAAAACACAGGCAAGCAAGATTTTGGTTATAAGTACTAAAAAAAATGTCTGCAGTGACAACCCACTTTACTTCTTGAAAGCTAAGAAGTAATATATACTTTTGATACTTTACTTTTGAAATGATTGTTGAATAACTAGCTCTACTTAGCTAACTTCATCATATTTGATCTCAAACAATAAATTAGTGAGTATTTACTCAGAATATGATTTGTATGGCACTGTGCTAACTGCTGTTGGATGATACAAAGACATGTATGCACTCTCTAACCTTGACGAACATATTATTTAATTGAAGAAACAAGATAGGCATTAAAAATCAGTAATAGTATGAGGCAGCAAATTTTAAATGTTGTCCATAAATAAATACTGTAAAAGTACACTTTAGAGGGCTATGCTTCAGCTGTCTCAATTAAAAAAGTATTATGAAAATAACAAAAATTGTGATGGTACTATGATAGCATTCAAAGTATAATTAGATTTTTATTTGTAGGATCAGAAAACTGTAAATCTGGAAGAAAACTTAAATGTCATCTAAGCCTACAAGGTAAATTAAAATTCAGTCTAGCTACTGAATAGATTGTTGCAAATTTCAAATAATTATGATCCAAATTAATGATTTACTATATATTCATTTCTTCAAACAGAATGAGATGGGTGTTTCTAGAGAATTTCTATTTCATCTGCAAAAGCACAGAACTCTTTGGCAGAGCAATAATTTAAGGATGAGAGAGGGCTGGCTATGCTCAAAAGCTAGATAAGAGGAGCCAGAGGAAGGCGAGAAATTGATGACAAGAGACAGGAGGCCATTATGATTATCTTTATATACAATTTAATAAATGCCTTGTGTGCATGGCACCATAGTGGACATTGAACTAAGTAAAATTAAATAGACAGCATCTTAGCTTTCTAGGAACTCTAGAATCAAGGAATTGCTAGAAACTAATAAGTTCTTAACCTGTTTTGTTAATAATTTCATCATTCAGAAAAGTGAAAGCAAGAAAGGTCAGAATGCTATTACGGACATAATTCTGACCACTGAGAAATGTTTATTTTAATGAACATGTCAGGACCCTTTAGAAGTCATGTCCATGCCATTTTAGAGTTTAAACAGATAAGAAGACGAATGCCATTGGGAAGTAGATTCCAAAGACAGGTTAGTCAGGATTCTATGGCCTATGAATTTAGAAGGAAAATTGACTTAAGAAAGTTGGGAAGTTCTCAAGAACAAAACTGTGGTGAAAGAGCTGCGATTAACTTACTCTAATGAGAAAGAAAACGGATGGGAATGTGTCTAAAGTGAACAATGTGCTATACAGGGAGTTCATCAATGAACTCAAGTATTAGGAAGCAAGGCAGCCAACTAAATATTGGAGATAAAATTGACAATGTCGCATAAGAATATAACCACGGAGGCTAAAAACCACTATAAGATAAGGTTAACAATAAACACTAAAAACAATGAAATGCTGTTGCTGTTGGTTTTTTAAAGCTATGTTGGGGGCAAAAGTGAAATCTAAGGTAGTTAAGGACACCTGCTTGAACAGACAGGAAAGTGACAATGGATGATGAGAGAGAAGGTAGAACTACTTCGCTTCTATTTTGTTTCACCTTTATCTACTAATGAGAATGATGCACAGACTGGGAAAGATGGAACAAAAATAGCTAACAGGGAAATGAAATCTAAAATAAATTAGGAGATAGTAAGAAAACACCTAGCTGTCTTCAATGATTTAAAGCCATCTAGTTCTACTAAACCCCGGGGCACTTCATCTGATTGCTGAACTCTAACACTGGATAATTTATTTGATTATAAATTTTTCCTCAATTCTGGTCATTTTTCCTCTATTCTGGTATGTTTCATACAGTTGAAAAAACTTAATAAAGACAAACAAACATTCTTTCCCTCTTTGAAAGTCAGGACATTTACCCATATCAAGTCCTATGGCATTTCTCCCATTTTCCACACTTTTTCATACATTAAGAAAAGCAGCTCAGCAATTATATCTGCAAGTACTTCCATTATGCTGGACATAATACATTAGGGCCTGGTGCTATTATATACTTTCCTCACTGATTATTCCACATACCTGTTAACCATTTTTTATTCCTTTTTTTCCAAGCTAAAGATCAAAATGAAAGTTGAATCATTTTGCTTTATATTTATCTTGTATGATCAGTGTCCCAACCACGTATCATCTTACCTCTGGAATAACTTTTTAAAGTATTTCTAGTTTATTTAGTTTTCATTACTAGCTTCAGGTATATAATGTTGGGTTTTAGCTTTTTAGGAGACTACGCTTGTGAGAATGTGGTACCTGTTATCTTGAGCTTGCTTCCACTGAAAAAGCCTTTTTAAAACTTTTAAAAATCAAAACTAGTTTCTGA